CCTACCAGCCCCGCGAGCGCTCCTGCTTCTACCGCAGGCCCTACGGCCCCTACCAGCCCCGCGAGCGCTCCTGCTTCTACCACAGACCCTACGACTCCTACCACCAAAACGAGTACACCTACTCCCTCCACAAATACCCCAGGTAAGATCAATTCCCTCCAAGCTTCTCACTGAGGAGTCACAGTATTTTGGAGGATGGTAGGTAAGTTTGTTCTACCAGAGTAGGGAAGTGCGTATGAAGAGACCCAAGGTGTCCTTGGATATGAACCCCTGGAATTAAAATGTCTGGGTTGCACAGGCTAATAGTAATGGCAGACATGCTAAAAGATTACCTGTTCCATTCTCCTTTCCTCAAGTTGTTTGCCAGATGTGGAATATTTTTATGAACTTGGACTTTAAAAAGCTACTTTTCCAGTTTCCCTCTCCCTAGTAGATTTTTGCAAATAGTTTCAGCTTCTCTGAGGTCAGGTGCAAATAAGCACTGACTCTCCAGCCCCACTGGTCTAGATCCCTGGTCTACTGAAGGAAAGAGTCACTTCTATCCTGATTCCTCATCAAATGTTATGGAAAAATTATGACATTACAAAGGTAGCTGATCACAATTTAGAATTTGAGCTAATACATGGAATTTGAGCCTGAGAGATTAAAAGGCCAAACAACAGCAGTACTCAAACAGTCCTGGACATGACCAGAGCCGTGGTCCAAAGGACAGATATTTGGGGCTGCTATCTAAGAGATGATGATTGACCTCAAGCCCAAGTTATTGAAACAGAAAGCACTTGCCTCATTTCCCAAAGTTTAGAGCAGGGGTCAGTAAACTTTATCAGTGAAGGCAAACTAATAAATGTTTCAGGTTTTGTGGGCCATGATAAGGTCTCTCTTACAACTACTCCACTCTGCCATTTTAGCATCAAAGCAGCCATGGACAATATACAAATGAATGTGCCTGATTGTGTATCAATAAAACTTTATTTACAAAAACAGAGGACTGGCCAGCATTGGCTCACAAGTCATAGTTTGCCAACCCCTGGTCTTAAAGAATCCTCAAACCTAGGCTTAAAGGGTCTAGATAAACCCTGTTATTCTCAGTTAGGGAAACTGAGGCCCAGTGAGGACAGCAACTTACCCAGGGTCAAAGAGCAAGTTGATGTTTCCCTATATTTACTTCTTTTGTCTTCCCCAGTGTTCTGCAATAGATCTAAGAAATGGATGATTAAGCAAATGGAACCAGAGCCTGTATCAAAACCTGGCTCCCAATCTTCTTTCATGTTTTCAGGGGCCGCTCTGAAGGCTAGGTCAACAGGGACACAGCTACACAATCAGTTCTCCTGCAGTCAGGAAAGGGAGCTTTTTTCTCTTTTTTTCTTTTTTTTTTGCGGTACATGGGCCTCTCACTGCCGTGGCCTCTCCCGTTGCGGAGCACAGGCTCCAGACACGCAGGCTCAGCGGCCATGGCTCACGGGCCCAGCCACTCCACAGCACATGGGATCTTCCCCGCCCGGGGCACGAACCCGTGTCCCCTGCATCGGCAGGCGGACTCTCATCCACTGCACCACCAGGGAAGCCCGAAAGGGAGCTTTTTAAAGCTGTTTCTGCTTCCCCAGACACTCTCTCAGAGTAAGGCAGTCTTCTTGTGTTCTGGCCCTACACTAACTACGGGGCATGGGCCAAATCACTTCTCTCTTGGCTTCAGCATACGCACTGATTGAACTAAATAGCCACCAAAATCCTTTTCCCACTGTAACATCCTGTGATTTTATTCCTGGCACACAGACAAACTAACAAGTCTGTCCTCTATTGCCAGGGAGAAAGCACACCAGGAGTTACATGAGCAGTATATCCAGAATGGAGCTGCGCTCAGTTTCTTCCCCAGGATTTGCCAAATCATCCTTGCAATGTGGCTGAGGCCTTTTAAAAAGCCATTTACTTTACTTAGAATAGTGGTTTACACCTTCTCAGAGAGGCGACCCTTACTGTTGTCTATGAGGTACTGCACTACGCCTCCTGTGTCCCAGGTAGCCTGCTTTTTTCACTCTTATAAAACTATTTTTCAATAGACTTTGCTTTTAGAGCAGTCTTAGATTCACAGCAAAAGCAAAAGGAAGATAGAGTTCGCATGTTTCCCTACCCCCACAGCTGCATAGCCTCCCTTATTATCAACTTTCCTCACCAGAGGGTACATTTGTGACAACTGATGAATCTATATTGACCCATGATAATCACCCCAAGTCCAGTTTACATGAGGGTTTACTGTTGGTGTTGTATATTCTGTAGGTTTGGATAAACATATAATGACATGTCTCCATCATTATGGTATCATAAAGACTAACTTCACCTTCCTAACAATCTACTGTACTCTGCCCATTCATCCCTTCCTCCCTGCTAACCCCTGGCAACCCCTGATCTTTTTACTGTCGCCATAGTTTAGCCTTTTTCAGAACGTCACGTAGCTGGAATCACAGTATGTGGCGTTTTCAGATTAGCTTCTTTTATTTAGTAATATGCATTTAAGATTCCTCCATGTCAATTTTCAAGGCCTGAACACTGAATAATATTCCATTGTCTGGCTGTAGCAGTTTGTTTATCCGCTCACCTACTGAAGGACATCTTGGTTGCTTCCGGGTTTTGGCAGTCATGAAGAAAACGGCTATAAGTATTCGTTGGCAGGGTTTTGAGTGGGTATAAGTTGATAAATAATAAGTGAATACTCAGCATTTACACTGAGTAAATACTAAAGCATGCACTTGTGGGGTCATATGGTTACGAGTATGTTTGGTTCTGTAAGAAGCTGCCTGCCTGTCTTCTAAAGTGGCCGCACCATTTTACACTCCCAACCAGTATCAGAGCTCCTCACCAGTACTGTTTTATTTATTTTTTATAAAAGTCAATAAGGCCCACAGTTATGGAAAAAGAAGCTTAAATGGGGCAAAAGTATATGCAGTAAAAACTAAATCTCCCTCCTATCCTAGACCCCTAGGACCCAGACCCCAGGTCATCCACTCAGAAAGCCAGAGAGTAGAATGACCGTTCATCACTTCCTCTTAGAATCATCACTGAGTTAGTCCATACTGTTCCCTTACTCTCCCTTGCCTTTCCTCATGGGTCTGTATACCATGTATGCTAACCAGAATACAATATCTAGTTTCTTTGGGGAGCTTTTGGCCTGGTCTTCCCTGTAAGTCAATTATTCACATCTTCAAAAAAAAATACGATGCTTTCTCTAAAATGGTTTTGGAGAGTTCTACCTAGTGTTAGAGAACCAGACATCAAGGTTCTGGAGGATCCTTGAGGTCCAAAGGATTTCTTTACTCCTTGGAGTTAGAAGACTGCTGTCTCTGTCTGAGCAGACTCTTACCCACCAACCTCTGACCTTTACTGTTGACAAGCGCTTGGCTCTAGAATTTTAGCAACAAACTTCCTAGAAACATAAGAAAATATGTATTTGTTTCAGCTGTTCTAAGGGTGTGCCCTGGAGTAACACAGCCAAGGAATAGAAAGCGCCCAGGAGATTTAAAAGTATGTTTCTTGGTGTTATTTGTTGTTATCCTATGGATTTTTAATCTCTTTCTACTGTATCTCAGGTTCCAGAAGCCCTTGCCAAGAGAATCCCTGTAAGGGTGATTCTTCATGTGTTAATCTGCATGATAGACGGTTTTGCCTGTGTTCAGAAGGGTATTACTATAACTCTAGTACATGCGAGAAAGGTGAGTTACAAAGGATGGATCATGGAGAACTGTACCTCAGACCTAAGTGGAGTAGAAAACTTAAAATAATGGCAAAAAGAGCTTCCAGAATACTAAAGTTAGAGGAAAATTTGGAGGCAACAAAGACCAGCCAAGTAGAAAAAATGCTTCCTGTCTTTATCTCCATGGAACCTAGTGGGAAAGGAAATAGACATTCAGATTTGTGAGCTAGTCCTAGAGGTACGGGAGTAGATGGGTCCCTTCACTTAAACTGTTCAAGGGAACGGTGCCACGGGGTCAAAATGAGAATGATAGATGTCGGAGTCCCTGGAAAAGTACACAGGCTGCATAAATACAAAGTGGTGCTATTACATGGGGACACTGATGCAGAATAAGGTGATTTCCTAAAACCACAGAGTCAGACGAACCAGGAACCTGGTCTCTGACCTTGGTTAGTTCTCTGTCATAGGATTTGCTTGTTCTATAACAGCAAACCCTATTTTTGGAGACTTGAGAGCCTCTCAGCTCTGGAAATGAACTTTAAGAGCAAATCGACCCTATACTTTTTTGGTTATATCAGCTGGGCGCTATGAAAGTCCAAGGCTGTTTCCTGAGTTCCATGTTTTTGTCTGTTTTATGAATGAGAAATATCCCTCCTTGCCAGAACAGACCAACTGTACAGGAAATGAATGCATTGTGTTGGCCACAGAAATTAGAGATATCCCCAAAGCCAAAAGACTGTTCCTGTTTTTAGCACTAATACTCTCATTTCTGGGGATCCACTCTAAGTAAATGACTCCATATGTAGAAAGGTTTGTGCACGAAGATGTTCTTTGCAACTGTTTTTTTCCCTCTTAAATAATTAAAAGCACTGAAAACAAAAAATGACTGCATCAATGAAGGAAAGATGTATTTCATAGAATATTATGTAGCATTCTTTACATTAAATATCACAGAGAGATTCTGCTTGAATTTCAGGAAAGATATTCCCTGGTACGATTATGGCCAATATATCACCTACATCTGACTTAGAAGATAGAAATTCTGTGGCCTATCAGGAATTATACTTTAACATTACTAGATTTGTAAGTATTTTCCAAACATCCTTCCTCTCTAAATATTCTTTATTCTAACACTGACTTGTAGAGTGTAGACTGGTATTCGGGTGGTACATGCTGGTACAGCTGTACCGGTGGATCAAGCAGTGAAATGCATGCTTATTGGTTTGTAAACAGTAGCTGTTCCAAACTCCTGGGGGCCACTGCTTCCTGGTTGCCCAGGCTCCTCCTCTGGGCCCCTGGGTACTCACCGTCATCCTGCACCTGGAGGGGTAACATCTGGCACAGCAGAGGGCTTTTAGAAGCCACCTCCAGCCATGCCGTACTCATTCATGCAGAAATATTCTTAAATATTTTTAAGTGGACAGAGAAATGTAATGCTGTTTTAAAATAAATTCCTTCCATAGAATTGAAGAGAAAAAAAATTAAAGATGATTTTTTTTTTCCTTTTTACAATCAAATTTGCATACTCTTCTGGCTTTTTTAATGTCTGGAAGAGGAACTCCATCTGAATTATATGTTACTTCTTTTTCCCATTGTCAAAAATGTCAAAATGAACAACAGCTTCATTTCATTTTGATTCTTGTGAGTGTGTCGACATGAAAGAGATGGAGATCTCTATTCTGGAACCACAGATGTCAGACCTGGAAGGTCTTAGAGAGGGTGTCCAGCCAGTGTTTCTCAAAATTTAGTTTTGAAGGGAAAAATGTTAGCTTGGAAATATGTCTTAGAACTCTAGGTGGAGAAACACTTTATTTTTAATTTTTTTTAACATCTTTATTGGAGTATAATTGCTTTACCGTGGTGTGTTAGTTTCTGCTTTATAACAAAGTGAACCAGCTATACATATACATATATCCCCGTATCTCCTCCCTCTTGCATCTCCCTCCCTCCCACCCTCCCTATCCCACTGCTCTAGTGCTATGCAGCTGCTTCCCACTAGCTATCTATTTTAATTTTGGTAGTATATATAAGTCCATGCCACTCTCTCAATTCGTCCCAGCTTACCCTTCCCCCTTCCCCCTTCCCATGTCCTCAAGTCCATTCTCTACGTCTGCGTCTTTATTCCTGTCCTGCCCCTAGGCTCGTCAGAACAATTTTTTCTTTTTAGATTCCATATATATGTGTTAGCAGACGGTATTTGTTTTTCTCTTTCTGACTTCCTTCACTCTGTATGACAGTCTCTAGGTCCATCCACCTCACTACAGATAACTCAATTTCGTTTCTTTTCATGGCTGAGTAATATTCCATTGTATATATGTGCCACATCTTCTTTATTCATTCATCTGTTGATGGACACTTAGGTTGCTTCCATGTCCTGGCTATTGTAAATAGAGCTGCAATGAACATTGTGGTACATGATTCTTTTGGAATTATGGTCTTCTCAGGGTATATGGCCAGTAGTGGGATTGCTGGGTCGTATGGGTAGTTCTATTTTTAGTTTTTTAAGGAACCTGCATATTGTTCTCCATAGTGGCTGTACCAATTCACATTCCCACCAACAGTGCAAGAGGGTTCTCTTGGAGAAACACTTTAAAAAACTAACGTCTTAATGGGGGCCCAGGAAGCACAGTGGCCATGAAAATGGACCAGAAAGTACAGAATAACAGTCAAGGATCAGGAAGGCTAAGTAACTGACCGAAGGACACCCAGCTGATGAGTGAGGACGGGGGATTTGAACCCAGATCTGCCTGACCTCAGGGCTGCTGCTTCTTCCCTGCTGGCTCTGTTGTGCAATGAGGTCTGGGCAGGCCTGTTAGCATGGTTCCTGCCCTCCTGCCCAGTCCTGCAGCCCTTCAGACTGAGAGGTGTATATCTGCAAATCCTCAAAGGGTGACCTGATAGAAGAAAAAAAATGGAAGACCTTTTTCCTATGCTGATGCTAATTTTGCAATCTTATTTTTGGGATTAAGAAAATTAAAAGTGCAAAAAGTGGTCAGTAGGGGAGCTGGATAGAACCTTGGAGGTCATCCAGTGAACCTGTTCCTAAGTAGATTCCCAGGGCCCTGATGGTTTACAGAAATACCAGCTCTTCCTGATATGTAAAAGAATTAAAAGGAATATGGACATATTCTGGATATAAGGTTGCCCAGACTAACTAGAGCATCAAATGTATTTGAATTTGACTAGAATGAAAGAGAAATGATTTAACATCTTTTTAAATGACATTGGTTGCCATGATTTTTTTAAATGTGGGGTCCCCATGGGAGAAAAATAATAAAATTCTTGGATTATATAATAAAAAAATTTGCACCAACCCAGTTCAACATTCATGTAATAAATATGGAGATGGGGTCCAAAGAGAGGAAGACATGTCCAAGGTCATGTCTTTCACAGTTAAGTCATTCAGTCATCGGTCAACTGGTGTTTGTTGAGTATTTCCTAGGGATTGCCCTGCGCTGAGTGCTATGGAATAGGCATGGGGATGGGCAGGTGGCAGGCGGTAGGGGGGTGTCATAAGAAAGAGAAAACGAACCCCATTCTTGGCATCAAAGAACTTATGTTCTAATTGAGACCCCCATCCTACCTCCACCTCACCCCTGCTAGAGGTCCCAGCTTAATCTCTGGCCACTTGTTAACAAGTATCTAGAATTGTCTCTGCTCTTGGAACGCAACTCAGGCCTAAGAAGATCTACCTGTGCTGGAGCCCCTTCCAGCTCACAAAGCCATGTATCATATATTCTATCTCACTTTCTACGCATGATAGCCCTATGTGGTGGGAATTACTGCTATCTCAAATTTTCCAATGAGAAAGTGAGGTTCAAAGCAGTTAAATTTTGCAAAAGCTAAGCGGAGAAATTTGGCACCTCAGCCTGCTGCCTTCTGAGGCACACTGCTTCTGAGCATTGGTGTGGGCTGCTCCTTCTTCCACTTCCTGGCCCTGCACTACCTACTGAAATGCTTTACAGCCCATCTCCTCTATGAAGCCCTCTCTGGTTCTCTGCGACTAGATGAGAGTTTCTTTGAACCTCCACGGTAGATTCTACTCTCTCTGTCACTTACCTCTCTCAACTTCATGGTGTAACCTCTTATTTGATCAGAAGCTGGGTCTGCCCATCTTGGTAATGTCTATGTCTCAGGCATGATGCCTTGGTAAGGTAGGCATTTAAGTCTTCCTTAGGTAAACTGATGAGTGTATAAAGCATGCATATATGTAAGTCTAACAGTAACTTTGAAAAGACAAAACAAGTCAGTCACGTTATTTTTAAGAGTATTGATTTGGCTGGGTGCTTCAGGTTTCCATCTTTTTCCTGGGTGGCTCTGAATTATATCAGAATCTTCCTATGTTACAGCAAAAATTACTGAAATACCTTTCAGTAGAGCGCATGGAAAGAACAAATAATTTGTTGTGTTATAGTTACATAAATGAGTTTAGAAATGGATTTATGTTAAAACCTAGATGTAATATCACTTTCCCCCTCTCTTTGTAGTTGTTCTTAATTCTGTTCTTTTTCTCCACAGTTTGAAAAGGCATTTGACAGTTTTGATTACGGGCAGACTGTAATTGGTAAATTAAGGTAAGTTTGCTGTGGACTGATGGGGTACTTTGGAAGCAGGTTGTGTTTGCCTAACTTCTGTGTTCTCTTGCATACCCCATGTGGCACTGAGGCCCTAGGATGGCTAGTCACAGGTCAAGAAGAGATGATTAGTCTGAGTACCACAGAGGGCCCTGCCTCTGACGTCACATTGACCCTGGCCTGGGTGGGCAGGGTGTAACCTGGGGATAGCAAGATGCTGCCTGTGATTGGCTACTCAGCAACTTGCCCACATAGCCCAGGGCATCACCTGGTTCTCTTTGTTTGGTTTGATGCTTTGGCTACAAATCACACCTGGTCAATCCCTGGAATGTGCATTCCAGGGGGTCAGGAGGAGAATGAATGGCTCACGGCCATCTCTTCCCTCATAGGGGGGAATGAGGCAGACAGGAAGACCCCAGTCATGCACCTGGCTACTGCAGGGCCTGTCGTGAGCTCTTTCTACAGTAAGAACGAGAATGCAGTGAGCATAGCAACGTGCAGTGAGCAGGGTTGCATGCTCTTTGGGAACCCAAAGGGGCGGAGGATTCTCAAGAAGTTAGTGATTCCATCTTGGCCTCCTCTGAAGCGTATCGATACATGAGTGCTACAGGCTGAGGAAAGAATGCTCTAAGGCAGGGGTCCCCAACCCCGGAGGGCGGCACAGCAGGAGGTGAGCAACAAGCGAGCAGATCTTCATCTGCCGCTCCCCACGGCTCCCCACGGCTCCCCACGGCTCCCCATGGCTCCCCATCGCTCGAATTACTGTCTGAACCATCCCCGCCCCTATTGGTGGAAAAATTGTCTTCCATGAAACCGGTCCCTGGCGCCAAAAACGCTGGGGACCACTGCTCTAAGGTGAACAGAACCATGCAGAAAAAGCAGCTTTAATGTATTTATATTTTATGGTTTTACTATTGCATCTATCTTTATAAACTTTGTCAAGTCCTTTGTGGAAAAACATACTATATATATTTAGATATGTGAATTCAGAGAAGACCTCCTAAAAGTGGTGAGTTTTGATCTTGGCGGTGAGCAAGGTGCACATGTGATGGGTAGCCAGAAGGCTGGCAGGCAGCTTAATGGGAGGCACGGTGCAAGCAGCAGGCAGAGAGGCTGGGCCCCAGCACACAGGCTGGAAGCTGGAGGTACAGCAGACTCCTGAAGGTCTATGCATTGTTGAAGGACATTAGGTTTGATTTAGGGGACAACAGGGAGCTCATGCATCAGGATGACTGGATAAAAACAGGAACAATGAGGTGTAAATCTATGCTTGGATCCCTGCCTTGGCACATTATTGCTGTGTGACTGGGTAGGCATTTTAACCTCTCTGAACTTTTGTTGCCTCATCTCTATAACTGGGATAATCTGATCAACCTCCCCAGAACCCTGGGAGGAGTAAATGAGATACCTTTGGAAAGATTCCCTGTGCAAAGTGCCTGGCACATAGTCAGTTTCAACAAGTTAGTTCCCCTTCTGTTTCCCTTCCAGAATATGGGACCCTGCAAGTATGATGGAGAGCTGGTCCCACAGAGTCACTTGGGGAAACTGTGGCACTCCTTCCGTTCTTAAGGAGTTACTGGAAGGGGAGTTTTGGAGGCAACCCCTTACCTGTGAGCTCAGTGTCCTGACAGGAGCGACTCCCCCAGCAAGGGGGCCATGGCAGGCAAATAGACCTCAGTCTCACCTCAGAAGGCATTTCTTAGGCTCCATACCAGTGCTCTCTCCTCTGAATCCCCAAGCTCTTTATTTACTGTCCAAATGTTGGAATTGGAAGGATCCTCAGAATTTCTCTAACACTCAAATCTCTCTTTGGACAGAGGAGGACACTCAGGCTGAGGGAAGCTGGGACTGGTCTTGGACCACAAAAGATGGTGGCTATCCTGGGTCTAGATCTCCGGGCTCTTAACTCAGAGGCTAGTGCTCTAGTCATTTATACTACACGTTTTTGTCACTTAAGAACACGACCGCTCCATCATTTCCTTGAACTGTTCTGTAAGTGTCATGTCTTGTCTCCTGAATTGGAGAGTATGCTAGCAGGTTCTTTAAATGAATGCATTATGGATGGCATTTCTTTCCTAGCCCCGCTGCAAAATTATACCATAGATCTCTGGTCATCTTTCAACAGATAAAGAAAGCTTGTATCAAGTACCCCTTTCTCACTGCCCTATACCTTCCACTGTCACCTCCAAATCCCATCATGAACCAATCATGATAAGAAATGTTAAATTAGAACTCTGAAGCCCATTTTGCTTTTGGACTCCCTTTTGAGGTGATCATTCCTAAAAACAGAATTTGGTTCATGTTTTGGATTTTCTGGATTGTTCTGCAGAACCCACATGGCTGTGAACATTTTCTAAGTAGGCTGGCTATGTTTTCAAGCTTCTCTATTTCTTCAAAAGTCAGAAAGGAGTATAGGAAAACAATTGGACAGGAAAATATATATCCTGAGTCTTAAAAACACACAGCCACAAATCAGAGAGGGAAGAAGTTTTTATTGTTGTTGTTGTTGTTTGTTTTTTGGCGCTTTTTTGGTCACAGACGTTCCTTTTAATAGTGAAAGACTGAAAATAACCTCAGTATCATGATAGGAGGTTGATTAAGTACATTATGATACATGCATGGGATGGAATATTATGCAGCCATTTCAAATGATGTACACATTTTAAATGATGACAGGAAAATATTCACAACATACTGAAAAATGAAAATGTACGCTAAAAAGAAGCATGCATAAAGGATTTTACCTTGCAAAAATAAAATATATGCATGAAAAAAGACTGGTAATATTTAGAATCAGAAAAACAATTATTTAAAAATAAGAGTAATATATGCTTACTGTAAAAAATTTGGAAAAAACAAAATATGAATAGAAGACAAAAAAATCACCGACGGTCTCTCAACTCAGGGATATTTATGCATTTTGGTATATTTCCTTCTACTCTTTTTTTTTAAAATAAATTTTTATTTATTTTTTTTGGCTGCATTGGGTCTTCGTTGCTGCACATGGGCTTTCTCTAGTTGCGGCGAGCAGGGGCTACTCTTTGTTGCGGTGCGTGAGCTTCTCACTGCAGTGGCTTCTCTTGCTGCAGAGCATGGGCTCTAGTCGTGTGGGCTTCAGTAGTTGTGGCTCACGGGCTCTAGAGCGCAGGCTCAGTAGTTGTGGCACACGGGCTTAGTTGCTCCACAGCATGTGGGATCTTCCCGGACCAGGGCTCGAACCCGTGTCCCCTGCATTGGCAGGCAGATTCTTAACCACTGTGCTACCAGGGAAGTCCCTTTCCTTCTATCTCCATTTCTGTGAAACTGCTTCATCTGGGAGGGCCCGAGGGATCACTCCAGGATCACTGAAGCTGGTCCCCAACAGTGTAGCCATGGAGAAAAGGAAGAGCATGGCAGCAAACACAGGGACGGCAGGAGATAGCTGGACAGCCAGGTAGCGGCATTCGAAGGCGAAGAAGAGTGTACACATCCCCAGGATGAGGAAGAGGGTCAAATAGAAGATGCCCTTTTGCCGGGCCATCATCACGCGGCCATCACAACAGAAGATGTTCCTGCCTAGGAGTTTCTCCCATTTCCGTGTCACCTTCTTTCTCACCACCATCATAGACATGATTGGAATTCCTGGTCCGAAATGGGTTTTGTGATTACAAGAGGGAAGAAACAAAAGCTGAGCCCAGCTTTGAAATCACGTTGCTTGCTATTGCTGCCGCTGGGTCAAACATCATCAGAAGTCCAGTTTCTAGCCCTGGAAAACAACCTTCTCCTGATAAACGGGCCCAGCGAGAGAAGAGAGACCAGGAAGGGGAGTCGGGCCTGAACCCCGGAAACTGAACTCAGCGGGGAACCGAGGCCAGGAAGTGCACTGTCCCGGGGGACCGCGTTGGCCGCCCGAGGTGGCAGTGCCTTCTCCCCAGCCCGGAGGCTGCCTCCTCCTGACAAGGGGGCCCAGTGGTCGGGGACCTAAACCAGCTGTGGCAACCACCCACCGCTGGGCGAATGGCAGGAAGAAGTTTTTTAAAGTCCTTTTTTTTCTCTCTCAGTGGTTGTATCACTTGATTCTTTTTTGGATAATGAAAGAATTAGAACTTGGTACAGCTGATCTCAGGGCCCCAAGTTGCAGCGCTGATTAGAGAGATTCTTATGATGTCTTGCTTGTAGCAAGCACTTAGTATCTGGTGATGTGATTTGGTATTATATTCTGATGCTTCTCACCGCCCCATCCCTCCTTGGGATCAGTTCTCCTCTGGGTCAGGTGTGCCCAGGTCCAATCACACACACACACACACACACACACACACACACACACACACACACACTTTGAAGCTGACTTCTCGCTTCCTGGGCCCTTTCTTGGAATGATCCAGACTCTGTATGGTTGATTACTGTTCTCTCTGTGCACAGGGAGGAACACACACCCCTCTGTCTCTCTCAAAGCACAAATCTGAGATTTTACAGCTCATCAAGAGACCTACTCTTGACTTTCTGCAGAAAGTGACAGCTTACTGTTTCATATATCACTTATTCTACTTCTGGTTCACTCCAGGCTCCTTAATCCTAAAAGTGATTGTCCACAATTTTTCTAAGTATCTTCCAACAAGACCTTGCTATAGCCCTAGATTTCCTCCGAATGCATGCTGAATAGAGATCTCTAGGCCTATAAATGGCCATCTTATGGCAACCCCATGCCTCCCTATGTGAACCTCAACGGTGGATATAAAACAATGGGTGGGGGGCTTCCCTGGTGGCGCAGTGGTTGAGAGTCCGCCTGCCGATGCAGGGGACACAGGTTCGTGCCCCAGTCCGGGAGGATCCCACGTGCGGCGGAGCGGCTGGGCCCGTGAGCCATGGCCGCTGGGCCTGCGCGTCCGGAGCCTGTGCTCCACGATGGGAGAGGCCACAACAGTGAGAGGCCCGTGTACCGCAAAAAAACCCAAAAACCAAAACAATGGGTAGGGACTAGTGCTGAGAGATATGAGAGTCTGGGAGGTCTGAAGACCATT